ATGTCTAAAAGATTTATCAATTTTACATAATTATATTTTTAGTAGGTAGAAATAATTTTTAAAAATTCAAAAATATTTGTCTGACATTTATTTTTGTCAAATTAGTTTATATTTTATCAAATTGACAATTTTACCCTTGAAAAATCTAATTATATATTCAATTGTCCTTGTTTGGAACAAGATTCAAAATTCATGGTCAAATGTGTCACAATTGAAAAGTCAGGGACCAAAGTGACACAAAACCCAAACTATGGGGACTATTTGTGTAATTTGTCCTTAAAAAAATTCAATATAATTATGCTAAAACTATAGAATTTAATGTATTTTTTTCAAACCCTCATGAGAAGGTAGTATAATTTACTCAAATATTAATTAAAGAATTTCAATTTTTTGATTAAAAATTTAATTTCAAGACTCTATGATTACATATAATTAAGGTCTCGTTTGCAAACTCATTATTTTAGCCTAAAAATAAAAAAATCACTAAAAAAAAAATTAAAAAGTCAACAACCTATACCGAAAAGTCAAAAAAATTATTTTTTCTTTACTTTTTTTCACATCTTTTCGTAAAAAATTAAAAAATTATTCCAAACATACTTATTTTTTTATCTTATATTTTAACAAAAAAACTAAAAAGTTACTAAAATATTTTGTTCCTAAACGAAGCTTACATGATCATTTTGTATAATAAAGATTAAATTGTTAAAAAAATAAACATATACATTGCAAAATATCTTTTAGAATATAACATTTTAATTATAAAAGATCACATTAGAATGATTAAAATAACACAGTAAGATGCTAGAAATGATCTAAAAATATTATCATCACTAAAAGAAACATGCTTAAGTTAGTGCTATGCTTTTCGTCAATAGAACAAGACTCGTTCCGTTTATTACACTCCGTCTGTGACAGTAGCGTGCCATCAACGCTCGAATAAATCCACATCATACGGCTTTCTATTTCGCGTGTGCAATGAGTTTTTAATGGGGGATTTTTATTGATAAATTTATTCTAGAGTTGTTATAATTCATTAGGTCCACTAAAGAATATTATAACTTGATTAGTCCCATAAACTTTTCTTTTTATTCCATAAGGTCCATTTTTATAATTTAATATAATTTCTTGGACTATTTTGCCCCTGTATATATATATGTACAGTAGTAATACGTAATAGGTGCCTGTTTCTTCGCTCATGCAGTTTGGCAGTTTCTATTTTAAGCTTCTCATCATCGATCCAATTCCGAGAGATACGTTTATGTGTTTGCATGCTCGTTCCAAGGATTGGTTGTGCTAGGGTTTCATCCTTGCTGTTGTAGTCTGGTTCTGTGGTTTGCGAGTGAAGACAACGAAGAGGAGGGTGTTCGGTTGTTGCATTTTCCGGAGTATAACTAGTTCAAATCAGTTTTTTTCAACTTTCTGGACGATTGTAGGATTGCATGATCAAGGTTAGTATCAATTTGGCTATGAATACATGTTCAGTTTATGGTTTCATTCGTATAATGGATCAGATGCTCTGTTTTTGGATTTATATGGATTGAATGCTCTGTTTTTTCAATTATATGCATTTTACGTGGTTATGTGGAGGGGAGTTCATTCGTATTATGTGAAGAATGTGTAGTTCTCATTTGACTTTGATGCATGCGTAATGAGGCTCTTTGTGGATGATTTGATTATCAGTATATATATCAATGTGAATGTTCACATTTTGTGAATGTGAAATATGTAAAGAATGTGGATGTTCTCATTTTAAATTGTTGTTTGCTTAATGAGGCTCTGTGAAGATTGTTAATGTTATGTGAAGATTGTTAATGTTCTCATTTTACTTTGATGCTTTCTTAATGTTAACATCTTGTCAATATCAATGTGAATGTTCACATCTTCGTATTGTGAATTATGGATTTAGCACTTGAACTGTACACGTAGTTATCTATTTTTTGCACAATGTGAATTTTCATGTCGATTTTAATTAAATGTGTAGTTCTCATTTTACTTTGATGTATGCATAATGAGGCTCTCTGTGGATGATTTGATTATGAGTATATATATCAATGTGAATGTTCACATTTTGTTAATGTGGAATATGTGAATAATGTGGATGTTCTCATTTTAAATTGATGTTTACTTAATGAGGCTCTTTGTGTGATATAATTCAGAGTGTATGTGTCAATGTAAATGTTAACATCTTGTTTATATTATGTGAAGATTGTTGATGTTCTCATTTTACTTTGATGTTTGCTTAATGTTGACATCTTGTTAATATTAATGTGAATGTTCACATCTTCATATTGTGAATTATGGATTTAGCACTTGAACTGTACACGTAATCATCTATTTTTTGCACAATGTGAATTTTCATATCAATTTTCATTACTGTTCATTGTTGTGTTTTTGTATTTTTACAGGAGATGGATATCGTTATGCTATTGGTGTGTACATATGGTTGCAGTACAACTGTAATAAATGTTGCCCGCGCAATGTGTTATTCTCGTTTGGTGGAGTGTTTGTGTGAGAAATGGGATGAGTTGTCTGCTGGTTCTATTTCATTGTTCTGTAAACTACCTGGGATTAATAAGTGTGATTTGGACAATGAGGAAGAATTTCAGAACATGGTACTGCTTGCTAAATCAATGGGGGTACAACATGTAGAAGTTGTGGTTGAGTTGAAAGGTGATAGTGGTCAGTCAAGTAGTTTGGGATTGCTGCGTGTGGGGGTTGGGGATGAAATTGATGCACTACGGAGATTTTGCCACCATAAGGAGAAGGTGCTGTTGTCAGCCCCTTGGGCAAATGGTATTACGCATGTAGGACAATGGTTTGTTGGAGGTGCACAAGAATTTCGTGACGTTTTATGTAAGTATGCCATCCAATGTGGGTTTAAGTTCACATACGTGAAGAACGAGAAAACAAGAGTTACTGCTGTGTGTGCGATGCGGGAGGAGAGGGGCTGCTTGTGGGCTATACATTGTAGAGCACAACGAGCAAATGATTTTTTCTACATCAAGAGGTTTAGTGATGTGCATACTTGTGGCACAGATGTCCGAACATCGAAGAATCCGCGAGTTAGTTCGGATTTGGTGTCGAGTATCATATCTGAAATTGTGAGGGACAAGTCGTTGACTCGGCCGTGTGAAGTGGTGACTATTTTGAAGAGGGATTATGGGCTAGATGTGAGTTACCATGTCGTATGGTTGGGTGTGGAGAAAGCAAAGGCTGGTATTCATGGAGATCACTCGTTATCGTTTGACCAGTTGCGGTGGTATTCGGATGCCGTGATGCGGTACAATCCGGGAGTTATGTCAATATTGACTATGATGTGAGTAGTCAACAGTTTTGTCGCTTCTTTGTGTCATTCGCTGCGTGTATTTCTGGGTTCAATGCTTGTCGGCCTTTATTATTCCTGGATGGAACATTCCTCAAAGGAAAGTACAAAGGTCAGCTACTTGCGGCAACGGCGAAAGACAGAAACAATGGTTAGTAGTTTTTTTTAGCTATCTATTCATGTCAATATTCACTCTGAGCAGCATAGTCTGGACAAAATAGTGATTGCTAAATTATAAGTAATGTGAACATTGACATTAGTATGCACTGATGTGAATGTTCACATCTTTGTATGCTAATGACAGAAATGTGAACATTCACATTATTACAGAGTGATGTGAATGTTCACATCAGTGTATACTAATGTTAGTTGATCTATTAATGAACCGTACTGTGAATGTTAACATTGTCAGTGACTCAACAATCAACAATGAATTATTAATGGTCGTTAATGTGAATGTTCACATCGTTGATGTTTACGAACCTGAATCCAAAAATAGCAATAGTAAATAGGGGCAATGTAGATATGAACATTCACATGACATGTTTCGTTTATACTGTTTTTATATTCACTTTGGAATATTGTGAACAGTTGTGTATTGGTGTTGTGTTGTAGGTCTATTTCCTGTTGCATTTGCAATTATTGATTCAGAGACCACGGCTAATTGGTCGTGGTTCTTGCATGAACTTGGGAAGGTTGTTGATGGGAAACGCCATATTACTTTTATTTCGGATCGTAATCTTGGTCTCTTAGAACCTATGCCAAAGGTGTTCCCATCGGCTCATCACGGTTATTGCTTACAACACTTGAAGAGCAATTTAAGAGACCGGATGAAAGGAATTGATAATGGATTCAGGGATCACCTAGTAAGTAGTTTGGGTGACTGTGCCTACGAGCCAACTGTGGTAGGGTTCCATGAAAAGCTTGCAAAATTAAAAGAGGATGGTAAACAACGAGCTCATAATTTTTTCAAGGACTTGGCACCTGAGCGCTGGGAAAATTCATACTTCAGGTAATAATAGTTTCCTAAGGTGTTCCATTTGTGAAGTTTAGAATGGTAGGGATGTGAATTTTCAGTTTAGAATGGTGACAATCTTCGAATTGTGTTTCATGTTCAATGTAAATGATGTGAATGTTCACATCTGCTAATGATGACTGATGTGAATGTTCACATCTGTTAATTTGTCAAACAGTCATGCAATGTATTACAGATTTGAATGTTGATGACACGTGTCATATTTTGTTGTTGTTGTTAACATACACATCTGTCTATCATTTAAGTTGACAACGTAATAAGCATATAATGTGAACATTCACATTATTATAACCTGGTAGCAGATGTGAACATTCACATTATTATACCCTGATGTGAATGTTCACATCAGTGTATACTAATGTCAGTACTGTGAACGTTCACATCTGTCAACGTGAATGGTCAGGCCTGTTAAATTCCGTATTGTACAATGTTTGTGATATATTATGCAGGGGCATGCATTATGGGGAGATGACATCTAATGCGGCGGAGTCATTTAATAACTGGATTAAAGAAGCACGTAATCTTCCTATCACTCAAATAGTGGACACAATTCGTACTCAGTTGATGCGGCAAATGTCTGCACGGCTTGACTAAGCAAACAAATGAAATGAGATTATTTGTCCGACATTCGAAACAAGGCTTATGGATTCGTTCAATAACAGCAAGTCTTGGCAAGTTAGCAAAGCCAACGAGGATGTGTTTGAAGTTAATTCGATACCATCTGTTACAGTTGATGTTGCGAGGCGTACATGTTCTTGCTTCAAATGGAAAATCAACGGATTCCCATGTGACCATGCTGTTATTGCTATTCAGAAGAGTCGCTACAATCTCAATGATTGTGTGGAACATTACTTTCATGTAGAGACATATCGTGTAGCCTATTCGGGAGCCATATTCCCTATACCATCGGTGGAGAAGCCGCCTTTTGATCCCATGGACTTCACTATATACCCGCCAATCGTGAAAAGACCACCCGGAAGGCCGAAGAAGAATATGATCCCATCAAGGGGTGAGAAACTGAAGCAAATAAGGTGCGGGAGATGTGATAAGTTGGGGAGCCATAATCGAAAATCATGCACGGAGCCGATATAGGATGTACCTTTTTTCAATTCAACATTGTATTTTACATTGGATTCTTGATTCATTTTTGAAATAAGATTGTGTTGTGTTGGCAAACATTGGGTTGCAATAAAATTACATTGCGTTGGCAAACATAATAATGCATCAATGTTTGATTTGTGTTTTAGTTTTAGTTTTTTAAGGTACCAATCTGACATTTATGTTGGTTGTGTTTTGGATGAATGCATGATGTTAACATTCACACTTGTGTAATATAATTACATTATGTGAATGTTCACATTGTTCAACTAAAAAAAATTTCTGTGTTGGGAATGTTCACATTGTTGTTACTGTTAACAGCAATGTTTACATCAATGTAACCATTCGCATCATCAACTCATAAGATGTGAATATTCATGACATCATTGTTGCCATTCGCATAATCAGAAGTTATGATGTGAATATTCAGATCATCAAATTATTAGATGTGAATATTGACTTGTGTTAAGAAATATCATACTCACACCTGTCATATTGTGTTACATGAACACTTTAAGCAATATTCACATCCATGTAGTATGGTTTAAAATAGAAGAAAGTGTACGATCATTCTGTGATGTGAGCATTGACATCATGTCATGTGTATCCAAAAAAAAAATACAATCTCAATGTGCATGACCAACGCAAAATAGGCCTGAAAATGCATATACATATATTGACTGAAAAATATCTGTACAAGGAGTGATATACACTTGATTTACAATTAAGCTAGTCTGCTCCAATATGAAAAATCTATTGAAACTAAATTGTCTTAAATGTGGATAACAGATTTGGGTAACAGTGATAGGTGGACACCCCCCACCTATAGGTTTTCACATTGCACTGTCTTTCTGTGGTTCAGAAAAAGGTGTACTAATGAGTCTCTTATTTGACACCATTCAAAGCGATCTAGGCTGGCAACAATGTCTTCACGATATACATGTGCCCTCATGATGTAACAAACTGCAGGCCCACAATCCACCCTGAAAATGCAAACTTCTTGTTAGATTTTGAAATTTAGGTGGGTAATGGTTGTGGAACATGTGTAGAAATCAATTTTAGGCTTACGAATTTGATGCTTGCTGAGGACAGATGTCCACTGATATGATTGTTTTCGAAGTATTTTGGCTTGATAAATTGGTCCATAATGGTGATGATGGTCCAATGTTGTGCACCAAAGCTGTCATGTAGTCCCTCTGCCAACAATGAAATTTCATATTAGACACCAACCAACATAGGACATACGTCCAAGTTCAAATATTACACATGACGACAAGTATTATTTTTGTCAGCCACTTACCAGTATTTGTGCTTTGTTAATATGTGGGTCATGTATGCCTTCTCTTGGGCGCAGTGAGTTATAATGCCTCCATACATTCTCTTTCACGTCGTACACAACAATTGTCCAGTGAAAGTTGTCGTGTATTGGGAAGATTAAGAATCTCTGGCCTTGATACTCCTTAATGTGTACATCAATTAGTTTATTCCTCTTGTGGGGGGGTACTCTTGCATGATTTTCTTCACACAAAGGGCATACAATGATGTACCAAGTATTTATATCAATGTTTGGTGTTACTGATTTGAATGTTCATCTGCTAATGGGGAGTTATGTTACTGATGTGAATGTTCACATTTCGTAATAGTGAGTGATACTACTGATGTGAATGTTCACATCACTAACATCAAATGGAACACATCTCGTATTGGTGAGTGATACTACTGATGTGAATGTTCACATTTCCTAATGGTGAGTGATACTACTAATGTCAATGTTCACATCTGTTAATGTCAGTGATATTACTGATGTAGATGTTCACATCTGTTAATGTCAGTGCTATTACTGATGTGAATGTTCCCATTTGCTAATGGTGGGTGATATTAGTGATGTGAATGTTCACATCTGTTAATGTGAGTAATACTGTTGATGTGAATGTTCACATCTGTTAATGTGAGTTATATTACTGATGTGAATGTTCCCATTTGGTAATGGTGGGTGATGTTACTGATGTGAATGTTCACATCTGTTAATGTGAGTGATACTGCTGATGTGAATGTTCACATCTGTTAATGTGAGTTATATTACTGATGTGAATGTTCACATGTGTGTATCATTTAAGTTTATCAACATAATAAGCATATAATCTTCAATGCGAATGATGTTAATGTTCACATCTGTCAATGTGAATCTTCTCAAAGGTCATTTTATGTTGTTGTTAACATTCACATCTGTCTATTATTTAAGTTAACAATGTAAGCATGTAATGCTGAGAAGAACATCCACATGTATTGAAACATAATCAAAATTAAAGTGTAGTGGTTACCAAACATGTGCTTGTAAAGATGAATGATGAATCTTCCAAACTTGGGTTGAATAGCCCTTGTAGTTCAAGTAGAATTTCACCATAAGCATCTATCACCTGCAGAACCGGAGGGGTGGCAGTACATTATTTGCAGTGTCTTTACTCTGTGTGTGTGTGTGTGTGTGTGTGTGTGTGTGTGTTTTGTACACATTTACAGTTACCATACATTGTTGGTTATGGATTCTTCCTTGATGATGTGTATGATGTCATCAAAATACACATCTTTAGTCTTTGAGTCCCCTCGCCACACTACCAACCTGTGCATTGTGATTACAGAAACAAAAATGCTTCATGCCCCCTTTTCCCCCCACCCCCTTTGACCCCCTCTCTCTCTCATTGGTTACATTTTCTTTTTTTTTTCTTTTTTTCCTGCTCCTTCAATCACCACCCGCCGCGTGTCTGTGGGGGTTGTGGGGGTGGTGATTAGAGGGGGTCTCTATCATGACTCTTACAGAAAATATTAATGTCAACATTGCACATTTATGAAATGATCTAATTTATTTAGTATATATGTGAACTGAACATGATGGGGAAAAAAAAACAGTTAGGGATATGTAAGATCACTTACTCATCACCGCCGTTCTTGTGCAAATTTTGGACTTTTTGCTTGTTGAGTTTGTTCATGTTAGCCCAGACCTTGAGTTTGTTGTTCAAGGATAACTTCTTGGACTTTGTTGGCTGCTTTTTTGGTGGTTGCTTGTCTAAATCTTGTGCAATTTGGACTGCATGTGATTTCTGTTGGGCTCCCTCTTTCCCTTTCTTCTGACCAGGCAGGTTGGGGTATTCAAACTCGTCCAACCTGTGTTCTTTCCTTACCTTCTGCTTTATGCGCTTTACCCTGGATGGGGGGCTGATAATGTGTTCCAATGCTGCAGTGGGATTCTTGTTAAGGCTGTCATGAGCCTTTTGTGCTTCAACTTGAGTGATGATGTGGACGGACTGGTCGTCAAAAAGGTCTTGAAGTATTGTTTTTTCACATTCCAAGTTGATGACCAACTTTGTCAGCCGCTGAATTTCTGTATCTTTCCACTCCATGCAAGTCTTCATGTCCATGTCCACATTGGATGACCCCGATTGGTCAAATAGTTTGGCTTCAAGGGCAGCAATCACCCTTGCCCTCAACTCCCATGATTCTTCCAACTGTTTGTATTTCACTTCCCATTGCCGTACAAGAGCCCAAGCTTTTTGGTTTTCTTTTATGAGTTCTTCCACAATGTCGGGCTCAGTTGGTTGTGCTATGATGATTCCTTTCTCAGCATTGGGGGTGCTACAGCTGGGGTTGATATAATGTCCAACATCATTCAGGTCCACTGCATCGACAGAAAATGCATCCCTGTCATCACTGCGTTGACTGTCTTTGCTTTGATCCTCATTGTTTTCATCTTTCTTTGCTACTGCACTTGACAAAATCTCAGGTTTTGGCTCCACATTCAATTTTGTATGACGGTACATCTTCACTTCAGTTGGTGATGCCATTAGCTCGCCGCCATATACCTGCATTTGGAGACAGTATGTTAGTTAGATAGTTCCTCGTCTCACTATGTGAATAAGCACAATATATTTGGTTGTACTTCTACCTCATTTAAACCTAGCTTAGCCAAAGTTATGGACTTCATGTTGCTATGTAAGGTTGTGAGATCCCATTTTACGCATCGTGGAATGGCATTGGCGTTGCGGGGTTGTAAGATTGTTGTATGCTCACACAGCCAATACTGAAACAAATAACAAATATGAGTAATTTGAATGTTCACATGAATTAACATTGATGTGAATGTTTACACCACTGGTGCAGTAATGTAAATGTTCACATTTCCTAATGTTGAGTGATACTACTGATGTGAATGTTCACAGCTGTTAATGTGAGTGATATTACTGACGTGAATGTTCACAACTGTTAGTGTCAGTGCTATTACTGATATGAATGTTCACATTTGCTAATGGTTGATAATGTTACTGATGTGAATGTTCACATCTGTTAATGTGAGTGATACTATTGATGTGAATGTTCACATCTGTTCATGTCAGTGCTATTACTATGTGAATGTTCACATTTTCCTAATGGTGAGTGATGTTACTGATGTGAATATTCACATCTGGTAATGTGAGTGGTACTACTGATATGAATGTTCACATCTGTTAATGTGAGTGTGTACACCAGCATCTACTAATGTGTGTTTGTACATTACCGAAACAGTAATGTGAATGTTTTCATCAATGTTGTCAACTTCCACACCAAAGCTTAGAAATGTGAACATTCACATCAGAGTGTCCAGAGCCCGTATATGTTCATATTAAACATAGAATAAGTTTTATGAGATTTACCATTAACAACATCACACATCCGGTGACTTGTCCTGGTTTTCCACAGTTTTGGCCCAATGAACCCATCAAGGTTGCCCGGATGCTATCAGCCCAATCATACTCGATCATATTGTCTAATGGGTCCATGTATGAGTAGAAAGCCCATCCTATTGTTTCTCTGGATGTAGAAAAGAATAGCTTGACGCATGCATACATGCAAACTAATCTTGCGACCTCCTCATTGTCATGTTTTTTTGTGCCCTTCAACGCTTCGCTCAGAATTTCTCGTATTTTGGCAGCACTTAACCGACTAACATCCTTGCACATTCGGTGTATGATGCCGATTGTTGGTTTTGCACCGTAAGAGAGGTCCATCGACTTGGTGCCGCAGTCCACCCCAAAAATCAGTGATACGTCGCTTCTAAAAATCTGGATGTTCTTATCCCCTATGTAAAACCTCCCACTAGATTGCTTGAATGTTTGTACTATACGTACAATGACATCATCATATTTCATGCAGTGGTTGAGGTCGATTTCGTTACTGATCAAGCTATCAAATAATGGCCAGAACAGTGTTTTTCTAAGGCACTTCAATTGGCCACTTGTAAATTTTGTATCCTTTAACAATTTGACCAATCCAGTTATATTTGACCGGTAGTTTACTTTTTTCATGTTCACTTCCTCAGGAACAGCTGTTTGATCAAGCTTGGTTTTGGAACGGGATTCCTCTCGCTTTCGCTTGCCATCAACTTTATGGGGAAGACCTGTGTGTTCAAATGAGCACATATAATTGGTTGAAACACAGAGGATAGAACCCGAAGCACCAAACAACATTCAACAACCAGCATTGACAGTAATTTGAACATTCACATCATTGTGCACTGATGTGAATGTTCACATCAGTGTGTACTACTCTAAGTTTACCCAGTAATCAATACTAATGTGAATGTTCACATCATCCATGTTTGAGAAATAAATTTCGAACACGACAACAGTTACTAGGTAATGTGAATGCTTACATAGGTGATCACATTATGTTATAATTTGCTAAAAATCAAAGGGGGGAACCAACAGCACCAAACTACACCCAATAACACAAAGAAGTTGGGCATTGATGGCACAATGTGAATATTTACATCATTCTCCATCACAGTGTTGAGTGAAGTTTGGGGGTTCTGACATTAATGTTCACATCAGTGTGTACTAGGATAAGTTTACCCAGTAATCAATACTAATGTGAATGTTCACATCATCCATGTTTGAGAAATAAATTTCGAACACGACAACAGTTACTGGGCAATGTGAATGCTTACATGGGTGATCACATTATGTTATAATTTGCTAAAAATCAAAGGGGGGAACCAACACTAATGTGAATGTTGACATCATTCATGTGTGCAAAATAAATCCCGAAAACTACAACAGTTAGAGGGCAATGTGAATCTTTACATGGGTGATCACATTATGCAATAATTTGCTAAAATTCATAGGGGGGAACCAACTGCACCAAACAACACCCAACAACACAAACAAGTCCAACATTGATGTCACACTGTGAATATTTACATCACATTCCATCACATTGTTGAGTGAAGTTTGGGGGTTCTGTGGACATAAAAAATGAACAATATCAACAGTGATAGTAATATGAACATTCACATCATCATACACTG